TTGCAGGTGATCATGATGTTGATAATGAGGCTTAAGGCTTCAGTTGGGCATGCTCTGATAGGATGTGACATCGGGGCTTAGCTAGCTTAGTCTAATATGTTATTGTTTTAAAAGCTTTAATTTTCTCTTCTTTTGTAATTTTGATCGTTCTTGATAAAAGATCAAAATGTATATCTTTGTCATATTATTTTTATTATATGATTTGAAAGTTATAAAAATTACTTCCTAACTAGGAGGCACTGCCACCTTTACTGGAGTTAATTTATATTTCCTGTATTATTATATATATATATATATGATTTCTTGTTGTCACTAAATTTTGAAAATCCTAACTTCTTTTCTTTTCTAATTTTTACATTGGAGTTATGATTTATGAGTTATGAATGTGAATCTTCTACCTTGTGATATTTGAGACATTTGTCAACTATGAAAGATTTTATTTACTCAAAGAAAGAAAATATTTTATTATTACATTTGTTGTATATTAATGTTGGGGTAGAAGGGTGTCACAATATTTAGTAGTCCAGAACGGGTCATTCCCAAAATGGAACGAGACGTTCCAAACCACCAAAATAGCCTATAACCCTAGTTGGGAACGGGTCGTTCCAAGGTTTGGAATGGGCCGTTCCAAATATGGACGTTGTGACTTAAAACTCATCTTCGCAACGGGCCGTTCTAGTGTGAGAACGGCCGTTCCAGATGTGAATTTTTCACATGATGAAAGGATCCAGAACGGGTCGTTCCGGATCTGAAACAGGTCATTCTGGCCATTCCTGAAATCTATAAATAGAGCACTCTGGCATTGTTTCTAAACACACTCTCTGAAGACCAAGGAGAATCAAGAGAAGGAGATCGACTAGATTCTACTCTAGCTTCGTCTTCTACTTATCCAGTTAAGGGGGAGTGAGAAACCTCGCTCGAGGGTGTAGGAGTAATTGTTGGGTAGTAGGATTGACCCCTAATCCCTTGCCTGATGCATGCTTCTAGGAATGGGCAAAATATGAATATTTTCTGTTTTGCTTTCTGATTGCTCTATTATGATCCCTGTTGGATGTGGTGTGTGAATATGTATTTTCAAAATTAGATAAGTTTTGATATGAATTATAGTGCTCTGTGGGTTCCTACGGGAAATCCTATGAGAAAACAGGAAAAATATGAATGTTTTCTGTTTTGCTTTTTAAATGTTTTGTTGCGTTCCTTGTGTGATGTAGAGTATAAATATGTAATTGATTTCAAAATTAGATAAGTTTTGATATGAATTAGAGTGCTCAGTGGGTTCCTGTGCGAAACCCTATGAGGAATAATTATAAGTATCACTATGTGAAATATGAACAAATGACATGAGACATGATGTGAATGAGAATGTGAAACGTGATAAAATAAGATAAGCTATGATTATGAGAATGTGAAATGTGATGAAATGAGATAAGCTATGACTATGAGATGTGAAATGTGATGATATGAGACATAACTCCATTGCTAAGGTAGGAAAATTTTGTCCCAAAGTCTACAAGTCTAGCAAAGGTTCCCTTTTCCTTGTTTTTGATTTTTTTGTTCTTTTTTTTTATGCTTGACTAAGCCTTGGTTTTGATCTCAAAGGTCCAACCACTTTTTTTATACTAAAGTCCTCCCTTTGCTTGGGTTTTACACTTGTGTCCAAAAATGGATTAGCAAACATTTTAGGAATATCCTTTTAATATCTTGTAATGGCTTAATGAGACAACAACTTGAGTGATTTTTAAAACTTTTAATGCGCAAATGTCCAACAGTAAAATGTGCACATAAAAATCACTCTCATGCTCAAATCATCAAACAATATATAGGCATATTAAGTGCACAAGGGAATACACAAAAATGGCCAAAAAATTTTAAGCAAGTATGTGCAAAGAAATTAATCACACATGATATTTAAGTGATGTAGAACATGCTAGAACTAATTAGCATGCATGATTGACTCTCTAAAGCACACTAGAGACTTAGCCATTTCATCAAACAAGTGGCATACATGTCACTTTTTTTTTTATCATTTCAAGGTTTAAGCATGAATACTTGGAATTCTTTCAAGGTGGGTTCAAAAGAGACAAGTTAATGACAAAATCGGGTGGATTAAAAAGCAAAAATATATCATATCATCAATGTTTCACATGCAGTCCAAAATTTCCAGCAACTCAAACTTAAAAAGAAAATGGTAGAACTTAAGCAAAGAAGCCTAAAACATCAAAATGATTCTCACGGATGACGCTGGCATGACTCTACACATGAAAGAAGTAAAATGTATCATGAAAATATGGCAAGATGATGACCCACTTTAGCACAACTTTAGTTACAAGAAAGAAGACACATGAACATGACTGAAATTTTAAAAGGACTAGATGTTACCCTTGAAGAACTTTAGGCTCTAGATACCACATGATGACATTACTAGCATTGGTTGAAAGATGATGACCAATGTGAAGGAAGCCTTGACTCCTTGGATCAAGTTCTTCAAGATCGTCTTTGATGGAGGAAAGGATGAAAATGGAGGTTGGATAAAAGGTGTTTGATGAAAGACTTGAGAATGAACTCTAGGGTTTGACTCACTCCATGGATGATGAAGGCCACTTCTAGGGTTTTTCTCAAGGTGAAGATAGGTAGGGTTTGGCCAAATATTAGCCAAGACTGACTAAGGAAAATATTAAGGCACAAGGCTCACTCAATATTATAAATTCTAAAGTATTTACAAGGAAGCCAACCTAAGGTATTTATAGAAGGGGGGATGCATTTAGGGTTATATTTGAGAGTGCATGGCCAAGTAATGCAAGCCAAATGCACTTCAAATAAAACCTAAATTAACCCTAGATGCTACTCGGTGACCAATGATGGAATCTTTGGATTTGGTTAAGCTACATCTAGGTGCATGATAAAATCATGCAACCTAGGTGTCCTCCACTTGGGCCTAAGTCTTGCCAAGTCCAAAAAATAAATCCATATCCACCAAAAAAACATGTCTAGGCCTAGTTTCCAACCTTAATAAAATACCCTAGCTATAAAATAAAATCTTATACTCTAAGGGACCCCATAATACAAGGAAAAAATAGAAAATACAAATAAAAATAAATCATATGACTAAGACACCCCAAAATACAAGGATAAAATAGAAAATACAAGTAAAATAAATCTTATGTCTAAGGTACCTAAAATACAAGGGTAAAATAAAAAATTAAAGACAAGGGTAAAATAGGAATAATAAATTTAATGCTAACAAGGCTTGGGAGAATGATTAATAGTCATAAGAAGCATGTCTCTAAGAGTGTTAACTCCCCTATCCTCTTCCAATCTCCTATCCATAGACCTAGTGATAGGTCCCACATAAAGTTCCAAGGATGGTCCTCCATCATATTCGGCCACCATCCCTTTTCTCTTTACCTTGAGTGATTAGACCTCAGGAGTGACTTTCAACCACCATGAAGTGAGTCAAATCGTAGAGTGTTTCTCAAGTCTTTCATCAAACACCTTGTCTCCACCATCATTTTCGGCCATTGGTGATTTGAGGGACTCAAACAAAATTTTTGAAAATCACATAATTAAAAAAAATAATTTTAAATTTGAAGAACCAAAAACATATTTATTAAATGACTAAAAACATATTTAAGTCTAATTATTATTACTCTATTCATTTTTTTAAGATAAACCAATAGTTTAGGGGATTAACTATTTTATTATATTCATTGGTTTTGGTATGTTTATGTAACAATCCAAGTTTTTATAAAAATAAATGATAGACGTTTTTAATCAATTAAATGTGTTTTTTAAAATAATTTAAGCTCTTAAAACAATTAAGTGTGTTTTTACTCAATTAAAAAAGGTTCGTGAAATCATAATATTATTTACATAAACAATAAGTAACCTCACTCATACTTGTATAAAATTTGTCATTGTCGTTGTATAAAATTTGTTTTTTTTTACATTGAGACAAATGAAAAAGAAAAATAAACATAATATAAATAATAATGAAATAAAAAAATAACAACATAATAAAATAGAAATCTTATGATAAAGAAAAAAGAATAATGATAAATATATGTAAGAAAGAAGTATATCATAATGTAAAATTTTTCAAAATCATTTATACTTGTATTTCCTTGGAATCGGATTGAAAGTCAATTTCCAAAGATCAATGTTTAGTTGTCTGAGAAATAATCTCAAACAACGGTTAACCTCACTCATGATTGTAGAAATCACATGACTTAAATCATCATTTATATAATATAAATTAATATAAAAAAAAGATCTAAGCAATATTGGCACTTACATATATTAATGTGCATTTATTCAATATAAAAAAATTAAAAACTCAAATAACAAATGCGTTATCGTAGAACTTCTTCCCTTTATACTATTAATTAATAAATACTAATTATATATATAAATTTTTTTATTTAAATTTATTTTAAAATTTGAAATAATTAATAATTAATGTATTAAGATGTTGTTACAATTTACAATATTAATGTATTATTATTTTTATTTTATAAAAATATTATTTTAGATGAAAATCTTATAAGTTAATTTTTTTTTGAATATTTTACTTTAAAATATTCACATAAAAATATAAATATTTTTTTTTTTATATAAAATTATGTTTAATTACATTTCTTATATTAAAATAATAAATAATAGCTTTTATAATTACTATTTATAAAATTTTAGAAAGAAAAAATAGTAACAGAAATGATTTATTATGCTAATGTGCAATTTTTTTAGCATATAATCATAATTATTTTTATGTAAATTTTATAATTACTTTATATGCTAATGTGTAATGAATTTATATATATATATATATTATACATAAATTAAATATTTAATAAAAAGTGATACTAAAAGAAGAAAATAAATATAAATGAAATGAAAACTGAAGAAAATTAAATGGGATAGAAAGAAAGGCTTTCAACTTGGGTGAGTCAGGGTGACCACGTCCACATGCCTGTCCTCTCTTTTTTTGGGGAGCCAATGATGTTTTGGGCTGGGCCGGGTTGGGCCCAATTGTTACTGAGATTGGATCCACAGCCCAATTTGAGCGTCTCTAATAAAAGGTGAAGCACCCTCTTCAAGAACCCTAATTTCACCGCACTCTCCGTGTTAGGGTTTCTGAAGCCACCAACCAGTAGGAGAGGTACTGTCTCGTGCTTATGATCTGTTTATTCTTCTCGCGCATAGCTTCACACAAACACGTGTTTTCGTGTTCGTCGTTTAATTTTAGCTTTTATTGTCGTGTAAATCGTTAGCGTTTCTGAATAGTGTTTGTTTTTGGGACAGGGAAATGGCTCCCAAACAACCTAGTACGGGTTTGTTTGTTGGATTAAACAAGGGTCACGTTGTTACCAAGAAGGAGTTGCCTCCACGCCCCTCAGATCGTAAGGGGGTAAGTTTTATTTTATTTTATTATTTTATTATTTTGCTTTCATATTTGTAATTTTTGGTTTGTAAATGGGGTTGTTGGAATTGCAGTATTACTCAATATAGTTGCTGTTTTTCTAGTTGGTTTGATGAATGGGGTGGGGGGGGGGGGGGGGTTTGCTTGTCACTATTTTGAGAATAACAAAGAAGTGGGATTGACAATATTCTGTATATTTTGTTGTATGTTGATGCTGAGATGTTGACTTCAGAGAAATTTTAATTAAAAAAACTGAAGGATTATGATGACCTATTATAGCTTATGGCTTCAACTCTGGGAGAGACTGTTGTGTGCAGTGGGTACTATGGATATGTTGACTTAAGAGAATTTTTCCGATTTGAAAAAACTGGGCTTATAATGAATTGGAAATTGTGTTATAAAATGTACAGCTGTAGCTATGGAGAGATTGGTATGTATGGTGGGGGCAATAGATATGTTGAAATCAGAGAGTTAGGGAATTTTTTTCTTCTGAAAAGGTCAGGGTTTATAAAGATTTTAACATTGTGTTAAAGAGTATAGTTTCAGCCATGGGATAGATTGTTGTGTTTACTGGGTTGAATATACTTAGTTCCCCACATGCCTGCCTTATCCCTTTTCAACTTTATTTTTCACATTTTCAAATCTGAATTTTCCTGTGACTATTTAATTTGTTTGATTTCTGATTTAGTTTAACATTTTGCTTATACATTGGAAACTCCCATTGTTCTAAAATTGTCTGTACTCTGTACATAAATAAAAGGTGTCACTCTTGAAATATCAGCTAAGAATTGAAAATTCTGTTGCTTTCAGTTGTTGCTACAAGCATTGTTTTGTTTGTTGGTATGGAGGACTTTAGGTTTTGCACTTACCTGCGTCATTTTGTTCCCATACTGATCCCTATTTTTGTAGGCTGTATTTCCCTTCCTTTTAGGCTTTTGCTGTTGCTAAACAGTATTAATGTTTGTGGAATTTTACTATATTGTTGTAGATTTAGTAAGAATATCTTTTAAGTTAAAATGTTTGAAATCTCTTCTGATAGATAATCTTTGTTCAGATGTTTCATGGATCTTTGTTAAGATTTGATCTCTTTAATGAAAATAAAAAGAGTGCTCTAATTTAGAAAGACATACAGAAAGTTTGTTTCTATTATTCTTATCTTGCTTATCATATGTGATCCTAATGATATACTGACTCAACAGAAAACTAGTAAGAGGGTGCACTTTGTGAGGAGCCTTATAAGAGAAGTTGCTGGGTTTGCACCATATGAAAAGCGTATAACTGAGTTACTTAAGGTTGGAAAAGATAAGAGAGCACTCAAGGTTGCAAAGAGAAAGCTTGGCACTCATAAACGTGCCAAGAAGAAGAGAGAGGAGATGTCCAATGTTCTCCGGAAGATGAGGTATTCTATGTTCTATTGTTAATATTATGCATAACATATAATTTATTAATCTGATTTAATTCTTGAATGGTTATTTGTTGGTGTGACTATTGTTTATGTTAATTTCTCCATTGTTTGTAGGGCTGGTGGAGCTGGAGACAAGAAGAAATAAGTCTCTTATTTAGTCTTTTCTGGTTTCACTATATGGATCCATGTTTTGATGTAAGAGCGGCCTTATTTTTGTTTTGGTTCGATTTGTTTAGTTCAAGATCTTGCTTTGAGAAATATGTTTTGCTTAATCAAGACTTTATTTATGATAGAAAGTACAATTGGCTTATTCTGTTTCACTAGAAATGTAAGCTATAATCTTTATTTCAAGTGAACTTTGCTCCCTTGGTCAGTCGCCTGATGTTTATGGTAATCATTCTTTAATCATTTTTTTTAATGTTCGTTTGCTCGGTGTTGACTTTTTGCTGTCAAATGGAACTTAATGTGCTGTTTTTCTCAAATGAGTGAGTGGTTAATAGTATGCATATTGGGAGAATTACATATCAAAACTAGATCTTTCAACAGAAGAATCCAATGCTTTCAATATGGGATTCAACACTAGTCTTGCGATTGGATCCTAAAAATGTCTTTGGTGTGTATAGTTAAAACCTGGTCCTAAGGGCAAAATAAAATGAGTTGCTATGGGATGTGTTTTTCTATTGTGGTTGCCAGAAGGCAACAAAATTGTGTCATGTTTTCTTTTAAAATATGACTACTGTTCAGGCTTAGGATTTTTTGGTGAAATATTTGAGTGTAATACTTTCAATGCTGTGAAAAAGTAGTGACAAGTGAAATAAGGTTAGTTTTTCTTTCTTCTACTTTTAAACATTAGAGTATGAAACAAGGAAATTTCATGTTTAATATAGCAATGTTGCCATGTAGGCATTGGAACAAAAATATGAATGTGTTTGAATAAGATAATACTAACAAAGATACACTCACTCCAAAGAATGATGAATATATTTTTTGGTTTATGCTTTTAGTTCTTATGGTTTAAGTATATTTTTAGTTCTTTAAATTTGAGTAATATATTTTTGTCTCCAGAATTTTAAACTTGTGCTTTTAATCTCATTAATATCCAAATCATTATTTTGGTCTTTTAAATTTTAATTTTAGTTCCTATAATTTTAAAGAGTAAATTATATTTGCACTCCTTGTATTATTTTAAAATTGCACTTGATATTTTTCTGTTTTTTGGACTTATAATGAGATTTATTTAAAGTTGAAAGATACTTGTCATGTGGCCCCACATGACTACTTAGTGAAGTTATTAAATTTAGCTAATTGTCGTTGTCACTACTAATTATACTATTAGTGAATGTGTATTTAAACATTTTTAAAATTATAGAAACTTAAGAGGTAAATTTTAATTTAAAGGACTAAAATAATAATTTTTATATTATTGAAGATTAAGAACATGTTTTAAATTTGAAGGATAAAAAAAGTATACACAAATCAAAATAATATTCTTTGAAGTTACAAGTACTATAAATACAAATTTAAAATTGGGAAAATAATTACTCCAAATTTGAGGAATTTAAAATGTAATTAAGTTTTTATAATTTAAAAATAGGCATAAATAATCTGGTTCTTAAAATGTCTAGATTTTGTTTTTTGGTCCAAGGTATTTTTGTTTTAGTCTCTAAATATATTCTTTTTAGTTCTTGCTGTGATTTTTTTCTCAATATTTTAGATAATGTGTCGAACGTCTAGATGTTTCAAGTGAATTCAAATTGTTTGATCTTTGACACGTTATTCAAAATTATGAAAAAACTAAGACACGAGGTTAAAATAAACAACTAAAAGTTAAACAAAAATATTTTTGACACCAAAAGCATAAAAAGTTATTTAAATAATATAATTTTTCCATGATTTTTTTAGATAATTATGATATTAATATTAAATATTTATCATTAAAATGAGTAATTGGTTTTTATTAAAGATCGTGAGTACTAGATGAATATTTCTAGATAATTTGATTAAGAGATAAACTACTACAATTTATATTAATTAATGATAATATTTTCTATGAATAAATGAGATCTTTAATTATTATTTTTATAATGTAAACAATTTTTTTGATGTTAAGGATAAAAAAGTTAACAAAGAAAAACTTCATGAACTTAAAAATGATGGCAAAAGTTGTTGAGTTAAATTTAGTAAAAAAATCTAAAAGCAACATTTTTTATGAGGTTTGTCCGTAATTATTTACTAAAATTAAAATGTTTATTCTCATTAAAATAAGTTAGAGTGTAATATAATTCACTTCTAAAAAGTGTAGATTGTAGTCTGTAAAATTTTAGATGAGATAATACTACAACTTAAACATCACTAATGTTGTGTTTGAAAAAGAAAATAAAAACAAAGAGAAGAGAAAAGAAAGAGAATATGTAAGAAATAGAATGAGAATTGGAATTGTTTTCTAGAATAGATGAAGAGAAAATGAGAGAAGATTAAACTCTAATTAATTAATATTATATTAAATAAAAAGCAAATTGATAATATTAAATATTTTACTCATTTTTATTAAAATAATCATTATTTTTATACATTAAATTATTTTTTAATAAATAAAAAAATAAATATTTAAACATAATCCATTATGCAAGGAAACATTGACGGGAAAAACTAAAGTTTTGCGACAGATAAACAGTAATATTCACGGATAAACAGTAACTTTTGCGGGGAAGTTCTTTTTATGGGTTTCTTTGTTTTTCTTTGCACTTCGCCGCCAAATAGCATTGGAACAGTGTTCTCTTTGCTGTTCCATTATCTTCCCCTAAATTCTTTTACACCAAACGCACCGTTAATGAAAGAGAGTATAATTTTTTTTTTCAACAAAAAGTTTACTTTAGAATAAGTCACGAATTCATACAAGATGATGGTTAATTACCAACTTTTTTTAGAGTTTTAATCGGAATTACAAATTGTTTATAACATTATCAATGCAAGTTTACATGGAAGGGTATGAAATTGAAGGATAAGGAAAATTGGACTCGATTCTAAGTTCCAACTAATAGAAGAGTATAATTTATCGTTACATGCTAATTGTTTTTATATTTTTTTTATGAAACTTGAATCGAATTTAAATTTTAAAAAATTAGAATATATAAATGTATAAGATTTATTAATTAATTAAAAAAAATTCGTTCTACCACATGTATTTCCAGTTTAATAAATTAGAATCTCACTCATGTTATTGTGATTGTTGTTGGCTCAAAAAATTTTTGCAGATAGCAAAGTTTGAAAATAATTTATCTAAATAAACAAAATAAGGATTTGGATGTATTGAATGACGAATAAGTCATTAGTATGAAAATTGTATTTGTCTATTTAAGTAAAATCTTGTCCTCGAGTTTTATGGAGAAAAGAAATATGTGATTAAAATGAGAGACTTTATTAAAAATAGTCTGTTAAATTTTTGGACAAAGATATGTTACTAATAATAGTGCTTTACATCAATAACATAATTTAAAAATAAATATTCATGTATAAATGACATATAATATAATATTTTTTTATAATCATGTTATTGATGTGAAATATCTATCAACTATATCAATAATTAATTTTCATAAAAAAAATTTGTCAGGACACATTTTGTGAGGTCCTCCTTCCAACAACATTTTTTTTCGTCTGAAGGTTTTATACATAAAATTTTACTTAAGAAAATCGAATTTAATATCATTCTAAGTAAGGACTATTGGTATAATAGGCAATGTAATATTTGGATTCCACTTACATATGTACTCTATTTTTATATATTTTATTTGAAAATAAATGATAAAATATAAAATATATTTTTTTTCCCTAAAATATGTGACCTTGGAGAGAAGAAAGTGAGTGCCCATATAGTGTTTTTGAGTTTGGGGTGTTGTAAACGTGATGCCAACCTAACAGCCGATTGGGAACCAAATAGTGTAAAGGGACTGAGTGTGCCCCTTACCATGCTCTTGCCCCACTTCTAGACATGTTCAATTTTAAGTTTTTAATTAGCTAATGATTTACTTTTGTAAAACATGCATGATTGGTAATGTAAAATGCTGAAAATACCCTGGATTGAGGTGATTTAAAGTGTGGGTTCTACTCTAAAATTTATAGTCTCTAAACAGCGAAATTGCGAGAAAATAACACTCAAAATTTTGGTTGACAAAAGCGTCTCATTCTCACTTCTCTTTCTCGTTCACGAGAGGTGCATTTTAATTGTATAATAGTGTATTCACTTAGTTATATTTGAATATCATAGAACTCTAAGCGTGTGGTTCAACGGTAGGGGTTGATTCACGCTTAAGTAAGATCAGGTGTTCGAATCCTGCCTTGTGTATGTAGTCACGTTAAATCTTGGGACCAGCTATCCCACCCTTTGAGGTGCCTCCAACGTAGCGAGGAGATTAGTCACTGCTATCGGCGGTGGATACTCCAGGAACGAACCAAAAATTTTTTTTTTTTTGAATATCATAGTGTAATTTACATAGCTATATTCAAATATGGCATATGATATTTGATTATTTTATATATGATATTCAATCAAGTCATTAGTATGTTGGATCCAATATTTGGTAGCATAATTGGTTATGTCAACTAGCATTATTGATTATCTTTATCTTCACAAGTAAAGTTCTAGATCAAATCAAACACTATTAAGTTTTAATTAATTATTAAGTGGTTAGTGATGTTTGATTTGAGGATCTCTAATATGTCATTATTTTCTGTCCGGTAATTATGAAAGTATCATTTCCTATCTACCATTTTTTCCCGAAGAATAAATAAAAGAGACACAAGGGCATAATGATAGTTATTTAGATTATTAAGTTTTTTGCATAAAATTTTAACAATATAAAATATAATTTAAAAATACCAATTTCTCTTTATTGGTCACCTAATTTCACTCTACCAAACAACTACAAATTTCACTCTATTTCCTACATATTTCTTATCAAATTATTTCTCACCTATTTCCTTTCATTTCCTTCAATTTATTCCCTTTTCCCAGACAAAGCAAAAAGGAAATAACCCTAGTTGAAAGAAATGAGTCTCTTGTTAATATTCTTTCTATATAATTGGTTAAACATCTTAAATTATGACAAGTCCTACTACTAAATTGGAAGAAAAACTCATTAAATGAATTGCAATACTCACAAAATTTACGATTTTCAATAAATTTTCATCAATAATAAAGAATGTTATGAAAGTGTCATTATATTTATACATTCAACATATCATGACCTCTTTTTATATATGTGTATATGTAAGGATTCGTTGACAACATTGAATCAAGTTGACACCTTCAATATTATTTTATAAAGTATAAATTCAACAGGTCTAATTGCTTTATTTGATGATATTACCTATCAAATAAGTATACAAAATTGCATACAATTCTAAAATTATTTGATA